TTTTTTAAATACTCAAACATGAATTTGAATATTTTCTAAGCCGTCATCTTTATACAAAAAGGCTTGTGATGTAGCTTACCAGACGTGCACTTCACATGCCTTCCAAAGCGCGAAGCAGGTGATAATAAAGTTTTAAATATTCAAACATGAATTTGAATAATTTCTAAGCCGTCATCTTTATACAAAAAGGCTTGTGATGTAGCTTACTATACGTGCACTTCACATGCCTTCCGAAGCACAAAGCAGATGTTAATATTTTTTTTAATATTTAAACACGAATTCAAATAATTTATACTCGTAGGCCGTCATCTTTAAACAAGGCCTGTTGTGTAGCTTACCAGATGTAGGCTTCACATACCTTCCGAAGCATAAAGCAGGTAATAATATTTTTTTAAATGTTCCAAACATGAATTTGAATAGTTCAGAAATTTGTACTGAGATTCAATCTTAAAATTTTCGTAGCTCAGGTAAGCGTTATCCAACCGAGCTATTAGGGGAGGAATGAATTGTCAGAAATAGGGTCAAATAGTTTCTATAATTGCAATATATAAGGACTTTCACGCGATTTCTTTGGAAACCATCTTGGTTTAGTCTAAGTGAATTCATCAGGATCACCTGCATTTATCTTCACCTATCATATCGTACTGATGCACTACTAGCGTATGCCGATAGCGCAGGCAGGGATACCATTCCATTATCACCAAAAAAAAACTGAGCTATAGCACTACTACGGTATTATTAGGATTTAATAAGTAATATTTTATGTTATGTTTTATGAGTGGCGACCTCGTACAGGCAAACGCAAGTGAAGGACGACCTCCCCCACTAGATGGAGTGACGAACGCAAATGCATTTCAGGGAGTCAGTAGATATATTGTATGCAACTTAGAATGGCAAACAAGCTGACGGCCCGTCTGATGGTAAGTGGTAGTCATTGCCTATAGATATGAGTAGTATCATGGACATAACAGAGTATCCTGTTTCGTCCATGATATCCCCATATGATTGCTCAGGACCGTCCCTTACGAAAATCTTTGGGGGAGGCCTATGACCAGCTGTGAATGGGTAATGGCTGAAATGATAATATAGATAATTTTATATTAGCTCGTCTTATGACTTAGTCTACTTAATTCAAACATATTTAAGAACTGATATAAAAAACTGTCATGTCCAAATAAAAAAAAGACACATTCTCTTTACGTCGATGATAAAATACGAGTATAATAATCTCTTCGTATGAGAGCTTTCATTAAAACAAAATATCATAGAAAACATCCATTTCTTATAAGTAAAAATGATTGGAACTATTACTCCACGACACCGACAGAGAGTCCGTGCTCGAGTCCAGGCTATAAGTCTTATTGATGCGGTCATCTATCCGAGTCTCGGCGTCTCTCTGGACGATCACAAGATAAACCAATAAAGTACAAACATTTCATAGTCCTATAGTCCTTACAATGCAAAGACAAATGATGGTTATTGAAAACCATATAACTATATATGTCACAATATCACAGAAACCTCTTGGTCTCCGGATATTTTTTATTACGAAGAACCAGTTCGCAGTTCGGGTGCCGAACGGTTAACACTTCGGCTTCGAGCAGCGATCTAATAATTTGCCTGAAGATGTCACGTTTATAGTTGAAACACGTGTCGCATAATGTACGTGGATGAAATGGCAGTCGGAGATTGAGAGCTAATATGGAATGTTGTAGAATTTCTGGTAGTAATGATGGTGGTCAATTTTCGAGTGTTGGCAATCCCAGACGTATGTATGTAGAATTATTTTGTTTAATTCCGCTACAATTAGTATTAATGGTAGCGGAATTAAACAAAATAATTCTAATCAAATAAGCAGTGTTATCAAATTCGCCATCAAATAACACCTAATTCAATAAATATAAAAAACCAGGCAACAAATATTTGAAGGAACAACCCCGAACTTTAAACCCGATACGTATTAAAAAAAAATTTCCCAAATTGGCCTATTACACAAAAAAAAATTACCTGCCAAAAACAAAATCGATTGGCCTGCTTGACAACTAAATCGATTTTATCGATGGAAATTAAATTAATACATTTATACAACACATGTTGTAGTTTAACGTCTCTATTCGAAACAATTAACTCCAGTATTGGTCTCATGCTAATTTCATAAGTTATTTAAACCGGATTTTTATGGAAGAAAATCTATATATTTTTTTTATACTGTTATGGCAGAAAACAAGCAAACATCTCGTCTGATGGTTACCAGTCACAGAGTCTATGACCACTTAAATAACACGCGCGTGTCGCTAGCCCTTAGAAAACTTTTGAAACTTACCCTTTTTGAAGGATTCAAATAGAATATAGATTGACGAAGCTAAACTAATAGCTAGTAAAATTAATATATAAAATTATAGAATATCTACCGACCATACACATACGGAATGAATGAGAGTGGTTTAGGGAATGGCCATGAATCACTCGCATAGCTCTATGACAGAACTAGATTGGCTATTACACGCGTATAATCCTAGTAATGGTTTGGTCACAGATATGGATATACAAGTAGATATATAGACATACGTATATAGATATCACAATAGTAATTTTCGAATATTTAATTTTGATCTAAATAAAATAATCTTGCAATATTTGCTTCAGTTATGACAACGCACGAAGAGTACCATGGGGACCATAATATATTCTGTGATGATAATGGTGGTATTCCGTAGTGGTCGTATTTGCTGTCTGATCCCGGCATAGAATAGGCCACCCCTTCCTTTCTCGTGGGTGTCGTAAGAGGCGACTAAGGGAGAGCGAGGGATGGATAGCAGCGTCCCTCTTCAAACACCTCTAAAACCTAACTTCGGTCACTAATCCGCCTGCAAAGCATGGCAACTATTGACAAAACCAAGAGGGAAATTTATGTTCAGTTAAGGACTATAGTGATGATGATGATTTATTTAATTATGTATTTGTTCTGTCATAAAAAGTTTTTATTTCAATTATGGTACATTTTGATCAAATATTGGAGCACGTGTAACAGTATTTTGGCGATATTTCCACACTGATTCAGTCTAAGAAGTTCTGAAATTGACACGCGCGTGTGTAAGCAAACAAGGCTGACGTGACTTCTAAAGCAGGAAGTAAATATTATTATGAACATACACGCCCTAACAGATTTGTGTGATAAATCCCTTGAAGGTGAAGGGATTTCGGTAAAGGGTATGGACTCCATTGGTCTCGGGTTCGATTCTTGCGTAATATTAAGATGATTATTCATGTTTATTTATAATGATTTGGGTATTTTCTATCTATAATATGTATTGTATTTATAAAACAAAAAAGGTAAAATACGTCTATTAGGTATCTAGTACAATCTCTGCTTAATATTAGTAGAATCTTTGCTAGAATTTGAAAACTTATATGTATTTTTTTTAATAGTACAGTAGAATTTTGATTATCCGAATCAAATAAAACCAAGGGTTTTCCGTATAATCGAAAATCCGGATAATCGATTTCAAAGTTTAATCAAACAATAATTATATTTAAATATTTTTTTTTGTTATGTAAATTAACATGTACATTTAGATAATACCATTTAAAAAAAACTACGAGGTATAAAGATAATGGATTACATACTATCTATTTGTCCAATTAATATATAATACCATTTCTAATTCGGTAATTAGAACCGCGAACCATAATTCCGGATAATCGAATATCCGGATAATCGATCTTCGGATAGTCGAAATTCTGTTGTATTTAGAATTAGCTATATCTCACGGCTTCGCTTACGTGAATCAATACAAAAAAATATCTTATAAATTAAGTTAGGATATAGCCTACGCGTGTATTCAAATCCGTACAGTAACTTTTGCGTGAAAGAGTAACAAATATCCATACATCCATACAACTTTTCAGATTTTACTAATATAAGAAAATGCCAACTAGACGATGTCTATATATGGCAGATATGAAGTTTTTTTTTTTGCATTTGCATCCATCAATTGCATTGTATCCAATTAGGTCTATCAGGACCAAAATTCTTCACAATTGTATTCCTGAAAGTCTAATTTTAAATCTGGTATCTTGATACGCAGTCTAGAAGTAGTACATTTTTTTGTTTATTTCACTTCTAAAATCCACGCGTAAAAAGTAACGGGGGAAAGCTAGTTTAATATATTAATAGGATGGCAAACAAGCTGACGGCCTACACAAACAAAGTTATCCATGCAGATGACTTTTGAAGAAAGTCTCCCTACAGTAAAGTATGCCCAATGATTTCGATTCCATTCGAAGTAACTCATCTCATTTCCGATACGAAAGCTGTTTTTTCTTCTGTCAAATGTTACGAAGAAACGCCAAAAGTAACTTGAACAAGTTGTGAAAAGGGATTGCTGGAAACAGAGACCAGTGGACCCATGATAACAGGGGAGACAGCTTGTTAGCAATCATATTGTTAAACCCCATTTCTAACAATATACCTTCTCAAGTCAACTTCAATGCGGTTTCCCTGGAAACCAGCGTGGTTAATTCATATTAAATTCATCACAATGGGCTAACTGACCTGATTTCATCCTCACCTGTCATCTCTCACTGGTATCCCGCCTGTACAGCAATAGTGCAGACGCAATTATCATTCCCTTATTTATTTATTTTTTTTACAACACAGGGGGCAAACGAGCATGCGGCTCACCTGATGGTAAGTGACTACCGCCGCTCATGATCACCCACAACACCAGCGGCATTGCAGGTGTGCTGCCGGCCTTTTAAAAAGGAATATGCTCTTTTCTTGAATGTTATTTTGACGTATCGGTTCGGAAATACTGCTGCTGGAAGTTGATTCCAAAGAGTGGTTGTTCGTGGAAGAAAGTGCCTTGAAAAACGCACGGTGGAGGACCGCCACTCGTCTAGATTATTATCCATTAACAACGACTCATGGTAACAGTAGATCTGTCAGATCAATCATATTGTCTCTTCTGAAAACTATCGTAATCTGCTTTCATACTCACCTACAAATAATCCGTCACTGGTGCCTCGCCAGCGTATACCGATAGCGTATTCGGGATTGCCCTTAAACCAAACAATAAAAAAAAAATAAGTCCACTGGCAACAAGAAAAATATATAATACGTATATCCATGAATTAAAATAAAACTCCAGATATATATAGGGGTTTTATTCCCATGAGCGTAATGATCACAGTTACGTAAAATTTTTCTCTCGTAATCTCTTTTTATAACACGCTAGGGAAAGAGCAGCCGGATCGATTACTAGCCTGGAACTATAATAGAACTGGCCATGTAGACAAATAACTATTTACTATACTAAGCACGCGTACCGGCTTCGTATGTTCCATTTTTGAAAATAAAATACAGTTCTTATTATTCGTTGATAATGTAGCTTTCTATAAGTGAAAGAATTTTTAAAATCCGTTATGTATATTTTGAGTTTATTCATTACAAAGAAAATATCTTCTCTCTCTCTCTCTTATCTTTGTCTTATCTGTTTATTGTATTTATTTAAATTATTTAAAAATAAACCAAAAATATCAAATATATTCCCTCTTCATAACATTAGGTTAGATGTATATTCTCGTATTTATGTATCTTCTCACTGGATTACCTTAAGAGGTATATAGAAGGAACATAGAAGGAACACAGATTATACGTCTATTCTTAAATTAATCGAATTTGATACCTTATACATACATGCCAATTTTGAAGATGGACAACTCTTATTTCTGATATTACACGGCCTATCTGGTCATGATAGATAGAGGAACACTACCTAACAGTATTTACCCCCCTAGTTGAGGGGGGAGAAGCGATTGTTAGTAATAGGAATTAGCAATCCCATTGCTAACAATAAACCCCATCAGGTCGACCTCCTCGCCGTTTCCCTAGAAACCATCGTGATTTATTGTTGAACTTATCACGATGGGCTGACTGACCTGCTGCATCTTCATCTATCATCCCTCACTGATGCCTCGCTAGTATATACCGATAGCGCAGGCGGGGTTACCATTCCATTATCATCTATTTAGAACTCCCCTAGGTAAAGGAAAAAGGTCTGTTAGTATTGGTATCTGATAGCCCCATTACCAGCAATATAACACCATTGTGATTGATTCTTGCAGAACTTGCCACGATGGGCTAGCTGAACTGATTCCATCCACACTTATCATCTCTTACTATTGCTTATCAGTGTATATAACGCAAACAAGATAGGTGCCCATCTCATTGTCATCCATAAAAAATACAGGAGGTATTTTTTGGTAGTTAGGTGTCCTTGTAACTGAACTCCGTATATTTCTTTCATTATTTTTTTTTATCCTACGTTTTGTATGTTTTTTTTATACAACTTAGAATGGCAAACAAGCTAACTACCCACCTGATGGAAAGTGGTAACCGTCACCTATAGACACGAGCAGTACCATGGACATTACAGAGTATACTGTTTCGCCCATGATACCTTCCATGCGTTGCCATTCCTGAGGACTCAGGTGTTATTCCTTTGTACCCAGTAAATTCACGCCATATCCCACCCTTCAAACCGAAACACAACCATGCAAACACAGCTGCTTCACGATTGAAACACGAATGGGACAGAGGTACCCAAGCAATCGACTTTTGTACAAAGTCCCCCTCTGGTAAAATTTTTGTATGTATGTAACATGATTATAAATCCACACACTTTAATAAGATACCATTACTTCGATTCGACGTAGCGTGATATCCTTTTCTATTTATATCAACCCTCGAATTTGCGTTCATTCTTCTGAGCAAACAAATCGTGAGTTCAGCTGAAGGATTACGATAACTGTCATGAGTAGATATTAAAGACATCACGAAAGAAAGAATATATAAAAATGATAGTAGAATCGTCACAGTCGTAGAATACTGACGGATCTATATATGTAATATTTGTCAGATCCGTCGGTATTCTACGACAATTCTTTGTACAAAAGTCGATTGCTTGGGTACCTCTGTTCCATTCGTGTTTCTACCGTGAAGCAGTTGTGTTTGCATGGCTGTGTTTCGGTTTGAAGGGTGGGATATGGCGTGAATTTACTGGGTACAGAGGAATAACACCTGAGTCCTCAGAAATGGCAATGCATGGGGGGTATAATGGGCGAAACAGTATACTCTATTATGTCTATGGTACTGCTCATGTTTATAGGCGACGGTTACCACTTTCCATCAGGTGGGCCGTTAGCTTGTTTGCCATTCTAAGTTGTAAAAAAAAAGACTGACGAAATAAATATTTTTATAAAAAAAATCTCTTATATCCCTTATTGTCACGCTTGGCAAATGAGTTAGTAACCGCTATTAGTCTTGGGTAATGTTTTAACTGTGTGATCCCATAGAATCAGCATAGAATATGCCACCCCTTCCTTTCCGTCGTAAGAGGCTACTGAAGGAACTGAATGGTAGAGAGTAGGGCAGCAACATCTCTAAAAGCGTAAACGGTTGCCAACCCGCTTGCCAAGCATGGCAACTACTGATAAAACTTCCTGTATGGGGAAGATTTATGTTCTACATTGGACAGTTAACGGCTGAAATGATGACAATGATTGCTTTAAGGAGGATACTGCTGCTTATCTATCCTAAAAGTCAAAGTGGTTGCCAACCCGCATGCCAAGCATGGCAACTATTAAAAATACTCCCCGAATGTTGGACGACTGAAATGATGATGTTGATTGTGTTAAGAGAAACACCATTGCTTATCAATCGACCATAAAGTTATCTTATTTGGCTCTTACGACACCCACGGGAATGGAAGGGTTGGCCCATTTTATGCCGGATCCACGTGGCGACTAGAAATCCTTACTTGATGTTATAAATGTGAAAGTACGTTTGCTATCTCTTGGTGCATTAACGGTTTAACCAGTCATTCGTATTTTTTTTTGATGGGTGAAAATGGTACGGTAACCCCGCCTGCGCTAACGGGATACGCTGGCGTGGCAGTGAAGGGTGATCGATGAGAATGAAAACAGGCCAGTTAGCCCATCATGATAATTCATCAGGAATTAACCATGATAGTTTCCAGGGGGAACCGCGAGGAGGTCGACCTGGTTGGGTATATTGCTAGCAATGGGATTCTCAGTCTCCATTACTAACAATCCTTTTCCCCCCAGTCATTCGTATTTAGGATAGAGCACAATAGGGTCACTTTTATTTCGGACACTGAACATATCCCGGTCACGGACGAAGTCGCGTGTAAAAGCTAGTATTCGTTGATACCATTATTTTTACAAGCTTTAGAAATAATATAATGCGTTTAAAGTTATTAATTAGATAATCTGACTTCATCTAAATTTATTGACTTCAACCCTTCAACCCGTCGGAGGTCATTGCTCCATCTCACACACACATTTAAACACTTATCAGTCCATACTTGTAATTTGTAAATAATTTTATCTAATTTCAATAAGTTTTAATGTTATTTTCATTGACGGAATTTTAGTTGTTTTATTGTAACACTAGTAATCTGCCCCGGTTTTAAACGGGCAGGTGAAGAAAAATAAATCATTTATTCATTTATACTGTGAGGATTTGTTCTAGACTGCGTTTGCTTGTATGGGTTGCTATTAAAGAAAACTTCCTTTCCCACAGATTATGTGGTTATCTAACTTAATGACCATAATATTGGCACTTCTTACTTATCTTTAGGACTATATTTGTCACTAGTTCTTCTATTCCTTATATATTTTTTTAAATAGTTACTCCATTTAAATTTAGGGGTCTTGAAACTATTATTTTAAACACAAACATACACACACACATACACGCACACACGCACGCACGTACGCACGCACGCAAACACACACACACACACACACACACACACGCACATGCACTCACACGCACACACAGACACGCGCACACGAACACACACGTGCGCACACTTTATATGTAAGCATTAGGGTTATAACATTGATTTGGTTTTTATTGTTATGATGTTATAATTGTTATAATGGATAAATATATAAATAATATTTATTTATTTATACTTGGGAAAAATAAAGAAATCCTGTTATTTCTTGCTTATAAATTGCAGTAGCTCGACTCAGAATCCTTGTCTTACATAAACAATGTTTATATATATATATATATATATATATATATATATATATATATATATATATATATATATATATATATATGACAGCACGTTACTAAATATCTTAGGTTTTATCAGTAAATCTTAGGATTTACTAATGCGAATTGATAATAAAAAAACAAGACTATTTTTGTATCTTGGTCCTACACCATAACCAAAACATAGTTCTATATGGTTAAAAAACATAGTCCTATTGGTGCAAAAGCATCAACTTCCCCAGTAGGGGGAAGGGATTGGTAGTAATGGAGTCTGTCATTGTCAGCAATACACCCTATCAAGTCGACCTCCACGCGGTTCCCCCTGGAAACCATCGTGGTTAATTCTAATGGAATTTTTCACAGTGGGCTAACTGACCTGCTTTCATCGTCACCTATCATCTCTCACTGGTGCCCTGTCAGCGTATACCTTTAAAGCAGGCGAGGTTACCATTCCATATTCATCCATTAAAAAAGAATTACTAATGAGTAGCACAAAATTACCATCAATGAAATAGTTACTCAATCTATAGTTTCTATATAAAGATTAAATAAATGTACAGTATGCTGTACCCATAAAACATAAACAAACCTACAGTATGGCCGCCGCTTTTAAATTAATATCACAGTTACAATACATGACGTCTTACTCATTATATTTAGACGACAATGACACCGTAATCTGAACGATGAATCGCAACACCAAAATAAACCGATTCAATCGGAATCGTCACACAATACGACTTACCGAGTCGTGCTGTTATGTCTTTATAATTAATTATTTTCCCAAAAGAAGGTGCTCAATACATATTCGTAAATTTCATATAAAATTTGCGATTAGGTACGTCACTAATTTTGAAAGAATTTTGGATATTTTTTTTTAAGATTTGATAGAGTTTACTTCTAAACTATACTGTTTCGCCCATGATATCCCCCATGCGTTGCCATTCCGGAGGACTCAGGTGTTATTCCT